TGTGAACTGAAAAGGGAGGACAAACAAGAGGAAGACACAGAAACCCCAGTTGAGTGAGGAGACCCTGAGACCCCGCTTGAAACATGAATTTCTTGTGTCCTGGAGTGTGGAGAAATGGGGTGAGTCTTCAGTCAGGGTAGAGGACCCAAGCCCTGGCACACAGCACAACACCCCTTCACTCCTCCCTTATGTTTCAGGTTGTGGGTTGTCTTGTTTCCACATCACTCTCAGGTGGCAGGTCTTGGATGATATTTTTTAAAAAGCTCCACTGTGAAGCTGTGTTCTTCCATATTACAACAGGATTAGGGTTACTTTTTACCCTCAGCCTTAGGTAGCTTAGACTAGGAAGAGATATCAGCAGCAAGGCAGTCTGCCCAGGGAACTGCAGGTTGGGACTCACTACCAACAGAAGGCCTGGTCTGTGATGTGAGGGGCTCTATCTCCATCGGTCAGGAATGGGAGACCGAGCCAAGGAGAAAGAGAGAGGGAGCCTCTTGGTGGATGGGGTCTTGAAGTTGGGCTCAGCCGGGCCTGCTGAGTTTTGGGAGTAGCAGTGGAGAACCATGGGGCTGTGAGGCTTGGTTAGATGTGCTGGCCCTTTTGCACACTAGCCCTGAGTCAGCCTGGATCACAGATGGGTGACTGTCCTTCCTGCTAAATGTGCTCCTCTCTTGGCCTCCAAGATCATGGCTGGAGTCTGGGAGAAGCTGCATGTGAATACTTAAAGACCATGTTCAGAAGCCCGCTATTCATATAGCCATCTTAGGGTGACATGCGCCTGCCTGCATTTCCTGTGCTGTCGGAACACATGCCGTATATATTATATGTTTTCCTGCTGCTTTGGTGATGAAGCGCATGTAAAATTTTTATCTTTGAATATTTGCTGTTAGGCATTTCTGCTTAACCCATTCATTTTCACTTTTAAAACATTTTCTAAAACTCTTTCATTTTCATACCTCTTTCCGAAGATTATAGAGATGGCAGGAATGCAGGTGGCTGGTGACTGTCATCACAGCTCACTCTTCTGTTTCTGTCCTCTCACGCATGCTGTTTGCACTTGTAATTCTGCACACATTTGGCTGCCTCCCGTGTATGTGCTGCTTACTGCTGGGGCATACACACTTTTCTTTGAACCCTGCTGCCTGTGCTCCTGGGGTCTCCAACCCCACAATTTTGTACAATACAGAAATAACCAAGATAGTTCTTTAGTCCAGTGTTTTTTAAATTATAGGTTGTGACCTGTTATTAGATTGTGAAGCCAATTTAATATCACATTCACATAAAAAATAGACTATTCATTCTGTCCCTCTGGAGAGGCTATTGTGACCCTGATTCATGATGTACAAGGTATAGCATGGTAACACACATTTGCTTGTACTGTACCATACCACTAGGCTTGCTTTTTTTTTATGGTTGATTGAGATTATGTAATTCAGGCTATCCTTGAACTCACTATGTAGCTCAGACTGGCTCGAACTTTCAGTGATCCTCCTGCCTCAGCTTCCTGAGTGCTGGGATTATAAGCATGTTCCATCACACCCAGTTACTACTAGGCTTTTATGAAAGAAATGTCAATTACAGTCTGTCTCTGATGCCACAGTTCAGTGCCCTGAGAAGACTCATCATGGCAAGGCAGGCCTGCAGAATCTGCTGGAGGAAATACTCCTGGACATGACATTTGTGGTGGGTGTTTCATCAGACCTGGCTGCTGAATACAGAGGTTCTAGCTTGGAGTCCCATGGGTTCCTCCTGGCATTGTTCAAGATCTCTGTGGTGACCCTCCCAGTCCCCAGGTCTAGAGAAGTGTTGTTTCTTTGATCTAAAATGTCCCCCTAAGCCTCAGATATTCAAAGGTAGGACATTTGAAAGGTGAATGGATTGTGAGGGCTCTGAATTTCAGCCATGAGTTAATTCATTGATTAGGTTATGGTTTAATGACATTATTTGGAGGTGATAGAAACTTAGGAGATGGGACCTGGTTGAAAGGCGGAGGGGGGATGTGACCTTGGGGACTGTATCTTGTGTGCCCAGTCCCTTCCTCTCTGGCTCTTTCCCTTTTTCTCTGCTTCTTGGCTGCCATGAGGTAAGCACCTTCCTACCACCATGTCCTCTACACCTTCCTACCACCATGTCCAAGTGGATCAGCTGCCCCTTCTCTAAGTTGACTTTCTCAGGTATTTGGTTGCAGTGACAAAAATATAATTTGGTAAAGTTCTGTAGGATCTATCCATGCAACTCCACCGCTTACCCTCAAGGCACTGAGCTCTGTTTTTAGTGATATACTTATGAATAAAATGATAACATCATCTCCCTGCCTCACTCCCAGAATGTGACCTCCAGGGTTCAGTGTTGGCCTGTATTGCCCTGTTGTGCATGCCTGCAGGATCTTGTGTTACACCCAGCACATGGTCAATACCTCCTGTGCTCTGATGGCTTGAACCTGAGCTAGCCCATGACTGCATGGCATCAGAAGCTCTGGGGTAATAGTCTTATCCCAGAGGAGGAAGGATCTGTAGGTACAGGGCACACGTGGACTGAAAAGGATCAGAGCACTGAGAGCCCAGCAGAAACCTTGTCTTGTCCTGTATCTACTGTTCTGCTTGGACACAGATCCACCCAACCCATGTGTCTATCCTTGCCCTCTGCCCCACTCCAGGCATGGAATTGGGCGGGTAGGTGCAGAATGGGGATGAGACCTCCTGGGCATCCCTTGATTCTGTCTGGATCCAAGCTATTTGGTGCAGGGGACAGATCTGGCCTGTTGGATGAGTTAGCACAGCTCTCCAGAATGCTCTCAGGCCACTGGTATGGACCTGGGAAGGCATCCAAGCCTGCATGTGGTTTCTTTCACAGAAAGGAGGAGTCAGGGTCCTATGCTCTATGGCACAGTGGTGTTTTCTACTTATCCCTGAAAACACAGGAGCATAAAGGGAGAGAGTGGAGGATCAATAAGTGTTACTAGAATTGTCTTTTCCTGGAAAACAGATTTCCAAAAAATATTGTAGAAGCATTTCATTAAATGTAGAAGAAACAGCTGTCACTGGCCAGCTGCCGTGGTACAATCCCATAGCCAGGCTTGTGGGTTTTGGAGCTAACTTCTTATTTAAGAGGCTGGGCCTCTGTATCCCAGTGTCACTTCCACAGCAGCCAGCTAAGATGAGAAGGTCGATATCACAGGACAATCTATTGCAGCAAGAAGCAGCTGAGCTCTGAGATAGAGACTTAATTCTTTGGCCTTAAATAGGTGATGGGCAATGGAACCTCAGCTTCCTCCTCCACAGTGGGAAAGGAACATGGCTTCTCTGTGACTGTAGCGGGCTCACCCTGGGAAGGCCCTCTTGCAGCACCTACTGGCATCTGCACTATCCTGAGCCTTCACCACTGCACATTTGATCATGTAGATGTGGCTCTCATGTCACATTGGCACCTGGCTGGTTCCTGAGAGGGCAAGGCCTGCCCAGCCCCAGGGCCCTTGTGCACACACAGGCCCTCTGTGCTCATCCCAGAGAGCAGCATGGGCGTGCCCTTCTTTGTTCAGGTGTCTGTATGGTGCCCTGAGAGAGATCATACAGATCTTCTGCAGAGAGCAGCCTTGGACTGCCTCCCCCTCGGCAGCCTATAACTTCTTTTCCTGGGGGTGATGTGCATACCAGGCCAGCACCAAGCCAGGCTGTATTTCTTTGTCACCCTCACAGTTACTTAAAACTATGAGCTCCATTTGGGCAGGGTTGCCCCTCTGCCATGCCTTCTTTTGAGTTTGTTTTATCCACAGAACTAGAACTAGAACCCCAGTCCATTGTTATGTGCTAGAGAACCTTATGCTTGGCCTTATCTGTTGATCAGCCTTATCATAGTGAATGGACAGGCAGGCCACTGTGGGGTCCTCTCCAGGAAGAGACCTGTGTGTGAGAAATGGTCTGGCTGTGCTTATTGGGCTACCTCTGAGCACCATATTGTTTACTTTCTCTATGGGATCAGGTACGCTAATAGCTGCAAGTAACCCTTAGGTGATCTCACTGAGCGATGCTTTGCTGTCCTGTTCTTTGAGGGAGTTATCATTTTGTGTTATAGAGGCAGGAGGAACTTTTCCCTCCCCCTATAACATTAGATAGTTGAGTCTGCTGAAATAAGCAACAAGGGATGAAGGAATATGAGAAGAGATAAAAAGGCATTCTGTGCATGGGGCATCCAAGGATGAAAAGTGATATCAGGAACCTAGTGAGATTTAGGAGCTCATGACCCCTTTTCAAATGGTAGAAGGAATAGGGGTATGTGGCAAATTAGAGGAAAAGTGAATGGCTGAGGACGGTGAGCAGGCCCAAAGAACAGACAATAGTCCCGGGACAAGGTTCATCTGGATAGGATGGTATTGGAACTACTCTCTTTACTGAAATCTGCAGTGATCTCCTTTGGGTGACAGGGTATCCAGGGATAGGACTCAGAGCAGCTGGCCATGTCCTGGGGGACCCACAGGCTTCAGAGGACAGCCTGCCCATGCCTGCTGCCTCCCAAGTGTGTCCACGCTGAGCTGTGTGTTCTGAGCCCCAACAGTGTAAACGTTTGCTTACATGTTATCTGATGTTCCATTACAGGATACTTCATAGTTAATTTATACATTATCTTTTTCACTTTCTGGAATGCTTTTTGAGCATTAACTATAATTCCTGGAAAGTGGAATAAGCAGGGGACATCTCCTGTTATAGAAGTATTAATGCTGCCATAGTTATATTTTTGTATGCTTTGGTTCTGCTTGGTCCTCTAGACATATCTCTGAGCTCCAGGCCATGGCCATTCTTGTTGGAGACTGTAAATATTGGGATCCCCACTCTCAGGCATGATGCTGGCTAGTACTGTTGTCAGCTAGCTTGTTGATTGAAATTGCTATCCAAGGGAAAAAGCCATGGCCATTAATTTCTTAAAATAACACTTGCTGCAGCCTCTGATATGAATACCTTTGTCTTGTTTTCCCTTGTCCCACCTGTCTGCTCTGCTCTTTTCAGGGAAAGTACGGTGGCCAGACTTTAACCAAGAAGCCTATGTTGGGGGGACAATGGTTCGCTCTGGGCAGGACCCCTACGCCCGCAACAAGTTCAACCAGTTGGAGAGTGATAAGCTGCACATGGACAGAGCCATCCCTGACACCCGGCATGACCAGTGAGTACCCAGCCAAGCCCTGGCTTTCATACAGGCCTGTAAAGTTGTTTCTACTGTGTTGCTAGACTGTTCCCATTGCTCTGGGAAACTGTGTGGTGTTCTTCACAGTGTCATCAAACTGGGAAAGATCTTAAGGCATGGGACAGTGGGACTCCCTTAGGAAGCAGAAGGTTGTCCTGCCATGGTTCACAGACCAGGGCCTGCTGGCCAGAGACTGGCCTCCTATTTGCCAATCACTTAATATTTTGAAGATCCATTCACAAAATTTTCCATTGTTCTCAGCCTTGGAAAGAAGTGTGAAGTGCTGTTTATTGGGACTGTGTAAGTTGGAAATGTTTGGAGATTGGAGAGGAAATTACCCATCCAGCAGAGATGGTGCTAAATGGAGCAGAAACATAGGATACAGGAGTATGGTGAGCACTCCATGCCCAGTCCTGAAGGAAAGGCCCTTGCTTATGTCCTTTCTTTTGTATTTTAGAGATTGGGAAAGATGGGTAGGGGTTTATCCAGCTCAGCTCAGGTCAGGGCAGTATTTTACCCCCACTAACTGGGAAGGAGATAGTGTTGACTCTTAACACATGCTGGTGGTTTTCCTTGTTGATGAAAAAGGATTCCCTTTCCTGTTGTCAGGGAGCTTCACCAGCAGTGTTGTGCCAGGGCCGTCCTGTCCCACTCCCCTTTTCAAGCAGCTCCCTTTGGATCTGGTCACTTCTGTTCACCACAGTATCTCATCTTCAGGAAATATGCTTCATTGTCCTTCAGGACCAGAGAAGTGTTTAGGATGTCATAGGGACATGTGTGATCATAAGTAAACACGGTGTACATGGCATTAAGAATCTCATCATTTCCCTAAAATCTACTCCAGAAGATTATCTTCATTCAGTTTTTCCTGTCATCCACTAATTTATTTTTTAAGGCAATTTTACTCAGACCTTATGCAAGTGATGGCGAACCTTTTAGAGCTTTCAGTGATAACAAACAGCCTGCTGTGGCATGTGTGCCATAGGTTCGCCACCACTGACTTATGCTGTGCTTCTAGTTAAATTTGGCTGCATTAAATACCAATTTGAAATAAGGGCTGCTGGTCTGGGGTTGGGAACTCTGTGGGTTCCCAGGCCTGGAGCTGTGTGGGCAGCTGTAAATGGGGACATGCCCATGTCTCTGGGGAAGGTCCCAGTGCATTTTGGAGCATCCTGATATGTGTCATCACTGCTCTCCACCCCAGACTAACTGGCCTGTGCCAGACGACTCACAGGAACTTCATGACATTTGACAGTGGATGTGATAGTTATCTTCGTGCCACAGAGGGAATATTAGTGACCCAGAGCCACAGACCCAAGGCCAGGGTATCTGTTGGGCTTTGAAAAAGGGTTCAGCCTTCCCCAGGCCATAGAGTCTGGGGGATCTAGGACAAAATCTGACCTGGGACTTGAGTGGACTGCTTGGAATTTCATTCCTGTGGGGTGAGTTTCAGTCACCACTGGTTTCAGTGCTGGTTTCTCTCCAGGCTGTCATTGTTGCTGCTCTGCCTTTGAGCTCAGTGAGAATCACAGGCTTTTTGGGGTCCACAGCAGGTGGGTTGAACTTCTCTGCTACCTCTGTTGCAAGTCCCTGCAAAGTCCCCGAAACTATATATACATAACTTTTCCTGATGTTCTTGGAGTAGGAGTCTGCCCAAGCAGATGTTTGCATATGCATCCCTTGGCAGAAGTGGGTTAATTTTAGTGCAGCCTCTGCACTATACTATGTATGTGCCAGAGGAGCAGCTGGGAGGCCTTCCATATTTGTGGGATTTGGGCTAAATTAAATTCTGTTTGAAGTCAATTTGGTACCTGGAATGGAGCAGCTATGAACCTTGAAGAGTCAGTTTGAGGACAACTGTGTTACTGAATGTCAGTTGAGGAGTTAAGACATGTTTAGGGATCCCTTCCGGGTATCTAATGGAGAGTAAATTGAAGAGAACCATAGAACAGAGAGCCTTGATGGCTGTCTGGGTGCCTGGCTGGCTTCTGCTCCAGCCCTGACAGTGCCCAGAAGTGCTGATGGCAAGCCAGCTGTGCAACTCTCATGCTCCTGTTGGAAGGATGACTTAAAAATCAGCTCTAAATGGGTGACTGACCCAGTTCCCAGGAAAACAGGTGCCCTTGTGCTGGGCTCCTCAGTTCTTGGGAATCTGAACCATGTGTGATAATTTAGAAAGTAAATTTTAAAAATCTTTCTTTTTTTCCTTTTTTTTCTTTTTGGTTTCTGCAGTTTCTCCCTTTGTGTAGGTCTAATGCCTGCACAGTAGAATTCAGTCCACAGCTGTGACAAGGTGAAAACAGTGAAGGTGGAGGTTAAAAGCAAGAATTTTGGAGGCTTATAGGCCTAGGCGGAATCCCATATCCTCCAGCTCTCCTGTGGTCTTTGTCTTCTGTAAAGTGACACCTTAATATGTAATCCATGAGGACTGGACTACACACGAGGACCTGCCTCAGCAAGGCCTCCTGGGACCTCTTCCCAGAGTGCAGCCCCCTGACCTAACCCAGGTCCCACCCCTTCCCCACTTGATTTTTATCCATTGTTCTTATCACTACCTGCACACTGTATGGTTCATTTATTTATTTAGTTTTTCCTCTTCATCAGAATAGTGTGGTGTTGTTCCTCCCAGCACTCAAAAACTCAGTACTTGTTGAGTGACTGATTGTTTAGCACAGTGCCTGGTGCATATTCAGTACCAGTACATTGTTGACATCAAGAATCACAGAAGAGAAGAGGGTGAATGGAGCTCACAGAAACTGCAGAGGAACCGCAGGACCTCCCTGTGTTGTCTCCAGGACTGGAAAGCCACCCCTTGTTACCTTGGGGACAGATAGGAGCAGCAGGGATTCAGAGCTGAGGAACACTCAGGCCGTTTTGTTTACTTTTTTAAATGTATAGAAATATTATGCTAAGAAGGAATATATACATGAAAGCAGGAAGCTGTGCATGAATTTAGGACTGTCAGGTGCTTGTGGGTGACAGGGAGGAGGTAGCCTGTCCTATACTGCAAACATAGTTTTTCACCCTAAAAAAGGTGCAATTTTTGTCCACCTTACTTCATGTTATTTGAAATTCCAAGTAAATTACCAAGATCAAGAAAGAAATCAGTGGGGATTCTGAAAGTGTCTTTTTGAGCACTTGTCCTCTGTCTCCCTGTTGGGATGTTGTTGGCATTGTCCATGGAGAAGATGATGGGCGGTGGCCTTGAAAGAGAGGCAGGTCTGTGCCCACAGTGGAAGTGGGGCAGCACTTCCAGGACAGGAGGGCTGAGGATTCCAGGCCATGGCTGGGGTGGGAAGAGGTATGTCTCAGGACTGAGAGAGGAGGCTGGGAGGGAAGCAGGCTGAGGCTGTGTGGGGTAGAATTTGGACACACCCACTTATCTTGGTGCAGGAGCGCTTGTGCTGTGGGGATGGACATGTGTGTGGCGCTTAGGAAAAAGGACTTAGTGGGAGCTGTATTTGGAAATATTCAGCGTATGTATGGTATTTAGAGCCATGAGCCTGGATGTCATCCTCAAGGGAATGGACGCCAGTGGAAATGAGAAACCCATGGGCTGAGCCCAATGTGCTATCATCAGGCCTTTATCTCTGGGCTACAGTAACAATGCTTGGGGGAAATCTGCTCTGTAGATGCTCTCAATCCTAGGCTCTTCTCAGAGATTGGAGTGTAATTTCCTACTGCCATGCAACCACAAAGTCAACAGGAGCCTCCTAGGGTTTCTTATTCAGTGTTCCTCAGCCCAGAGTGGGGCCATCCCCAGAGTCAGGTGAAAGACTGGGGGCTCTTGGACTGTCAGGAACCCACAGGGGCTCCTGGCATCACTGGTTGGTGCCGGTGATGCTGTATTCTGGGTAGCACTGACAGTCCTGCGCACTGAAGAGACATCCTGTCCCCCTGTACCAGCAGGGCTCCCAGCCACACCTTTTGTCTACATGACCCCTTCCTCCCTGCTCAGTATAAACATAGAGTGGAGTTGCTGCCTCTTTACTGCTCTTGGTGGAACTTGCCTTTTCTATCAGCCAGCCCTCTGAGGAGCATGGAAAGTAAGCCCCTTGTGAGCTCTGTGGACCACGCAGCCACCTGAAGTTCCTCTGCCTCTGTGGGCAGCAGAGCCCTTGGAGGTACAAGTGTCTATAGACTATGGTGTGTTGGCCCAGTTCATATGCAGAAGTCCTAAGCCTCCTGTGTGACTGTATCTGGAAAGAGCCTTCTTGGAGATGATTTTGGCTCAGTGAGGTTATGATGCAGCCAGACGTGTGCGTATGAGAGGAAAAGAGAGGGACATTACTGCCTGCCATGTGAACCCACAGGGCCTAGGACCTTGGACTCCAGTGCCCTGAGGAAATTAACATCTCACCTGTTATGGTGTTCTGTTACGGTGGCCAGTGGCTGAGTGGGAGGGCCAGGCCCATCCAGTCCTGAGGTGACTTGAGAAGTCACTTCCATTTTCTGAAGTTTTCCAGTGCCTCCCTCAGTGCTAGTGGGATGCAGGACCTGGGAGATACCCAGCTGTCTCCAGGGTGGGCATTAAGGGGTGTCCAACTCCCATCTTCAGCCTACCCAGGATCAGACCTCTTTCGAGGAAGCTCATCTGATGGAAAAGTCAAGTGCAGAATCAACCAACCCAGGGAATTTGTAGAGCCTCATTCTCTCTGCTGGGGAAAGCTTGAGATGGTTTACTTTGAAATTGTTTATGAAAGTAAAGTCAAATAAACCTTTATGGGGAGGGAAACATTATCTTTGTTTTCTTTTTCCCCTGTGACTGCAACAGCAGTTCTTTTCATGTTTCATTAAACCCCTTAATAATGAAAACTCCTCTGTAAAGGAACAGGTCCCCTCCAGGTTTAGGATGTCTGAATCATGAGACTGTCTCCCTGTTTTTGCCATTTCCTTTACCACTAATTTTCAAACGTGAGGTTTTAGAATATGTTTGGTCTCAGAGTAGAATTCTGCCCTGGCCAGCAGCAAAGGAGGCT